CCAGAGGTCCTTCCCAACCCCTGCCATGCTGGAATTCTGTGATATGCAGACTTTCTGTTACAGATTTGCTCAACTGCAAAGTTATCTCTCTCCTTAGTTTAGCTTTCTTACTATATGGCGCATTTAAATCAAGACTAAGAGTATAACCTTCATGTATAATGTGAAAATAGTTTGTGATTCAGGTGAGTATCCTTACCTAATAACAGGTGTAGGTAGGATGATCGTGTGGGTGGTTTTTTCCTTCACATCCCCTCTTAATTTTTAAAACTAAAGCTTGAATTGTTTTTGTGCTTGAGCATGCTGCAGCCTTTGTATTTTCCCAGTTTAAGCTTTTGTCTTTGACCAAGGAAAATCAGTACGATTGCGTGGAGCAGATGACTGTACGGTAGCACAGCTTCCAGCAGGTGGCAACCGCGGATTGCTCACGGCCTGTGTCTTGGCGCTTGGCCTCAGGGGATTCGTCTATGGAGCCATCATTTGCTGTTCCACAGTTAAACGATTTTTTGTACTCGGATGTAGAATGTGGCATGTTTGCTACATGAGATTGTGATATTACTTTTTTAGGGTAGTGTATTCTTTCATAATAAATTTATAAGCACAAAGTTAAGTATTTTGGATAATAATATACCTTAAATTTATATGACAGTGCAAACTGCTAATTTTTTTTACAGGAACTTGACCGTGTGATCAAGCTGCTTTTAGAATTTGTTTGTTTCTCCAAATATGTATATTGTAAAACCTTTTTTCAATAAAGCTTATCTATGTTTAAATAGATATCTCAAGCAATAAAACTGTCTTAGCCTTGAATAATTTAAGTACAGTTACCAACATGACATCTGAAACTTTTGAAGCCAATTTTGTGTATGTGTTCATGGTTATAAATGCCATCAAGAAACAGAATTGGTTAGCAAAATAGGGATTGGTTAGCAGTTAGAAAGTGTGTGTATGTTAGTATATAAATATGGAAATCTTACTTTGATGGATTCAGTGCTTCTGGCTTGGTAGTAATTGATTAATCCTCACAAAGTTTGTAGGTCATTTCTCACTTTAGAAGAATTACAAAATAAAAGACATTATGGTTAGATCTCTTGTATAGTTATTGTTCTGCTCTAAAGCCTGTAAAGGTTGCAGCTTCTTAGCAGTCTCTTGACTCCAACTAACTCAACTGTATTTGAAAACGTTTTGAAAAGTTCTGATAATCCGTCTTTTCAGCCTCAAGAGTCCAACTGCCATTTGGTTGAGGACACATTAATGTCACTTCTAGGCTGTAGTTCTGTTTCACTAGCAAATTTCTTGCCCTGGATACAGCCCAGATGGCACTGATGGAGAACGTGCAGTCTGGGCAGGTGGACACAGGGTATTGTAAACAAGCTCCTTGTTGCCCTTTTGCTGTGACTAGTTGCCGACATGTTTTAGTGTGGTTATTAAAATGAATTGGGTACACAGTATGTGTGTCTGCTTTTTGTTTTGAAACCTAAAAAATCTCTAACTCTTTTTCAGCCAGAAAACCTTGCACAGAAGCTTCCAAACCTCGTGGAATTGTGAGTTTGTGTAGGCATTCTAATATATTTTTATTATGCTGATCCTTCTTACCTTAAAATAATTCTAGAGTGTATTGCTTGTACATAACCTACCTCTTAAGCATGAAGGGATTTCTTGGAGGGCAAAAAAGGGTCTCCGTTGTTTTTTTTCTTTTTAGGGGCAGTATATTCAGATGTATTCAGTGAATATTTTTAACATTTCTGTTGTTTATACAAATGTTTACACTGCTAAGGAGATAAACTACTTACTTCCTAACTCGTGTGTCGACTGTTGTCACCCTGATAAAGCACTGGAACCTCCAGATGCACTGCTCAGATGGTTGTGACCGAGCCAGAGTAACAGGTTACTGCCTCCAGCCCATCCCTAGCTGCCATTTCTATCCCAGTTTCTAGAATTACTGTTATTTCAGTCTTACTGATTGCAGTAATAAGTTGTTGGTTTGTTTTTTTTTTTCTTTTAACCAAGGCACAGGTTGTCAAATAGGAGCAGGAAGGGGATAGTAACTATGCAATGATGGTTGCTGTAGGCAGAGTAGTTGATCCAGTCTTGTCCACAGAATAGATGTCATATGAACTGTATTATTTGCACAATTTTAAGCTGTAAGCCCGAGTCAGTGTTTTCTTCCCTCCTCTTTTCTTCTTGTAAGGTTATGATTTCCTTGTGTGGTAGGATTGGCAGTGGCAAGGTTAAAGGGTTTTCCCCTTTTAGCTCTTTTGGCTCACTTTCAGTTGAGTAACTGATGGGCCATTGGTTCTGTTTATTTAATGGAAAGCTCCAGAGGGGAGGAGTTGTGTATCTGAGTAGTGTAACACATTCAGCTCTCTGATCTTGTCATCTTAATTTGGCCCTTGCAACCACACCTTTCTGGTACATGCGACCACAGTATCATTGATCTGTTTTGTAGGTCACTGCGGTCTCCAACTTGCCTAAGAGACAGTCTTGTCTCATCATGCCCAAGTCTTGAGAGAATGTTTATTCTCTGAAGCAGCAAAATAAGTATTTTTGTGTTTGATATACTTAGTATTTAATGATTTACCATGGGGCATGAGGAAATCTCCATGTTATCTGTTGGTGCTTTTAGGAAAACCTGTATAATTTACAGCTTTAAATAATCTCTTACAAACAGTGGATTGTAGGAGTCTAACCTAATTATTTGGGGTTCAGTAAGCTTAGTTGTACCACCATTATCCCACAGATTCTGGTGGTATAGAGAACTGCAGTGGGCCTGGGGTTTCTCTAGCTCTAATAGTACAGGTGAACTTTTGATCAGAGAGCAAGACATTTTTGTTGACAAAGAAGAGACCACAAAGTAAACATTTATTAACAGAATAAACCTTTATTTAAAGAAGAACTTCTTACTGTAGCTCTAAATTTTGAAAGACCAACGTAACTGATTTGCATTTTCCTGAAAGTTACAGCCTTAGTTATTTCACTATGTAGAATTTTAAAACTTCACTGTTTTCTGTGTTTCTTCCTATATTGTGTCCCTCATTTTGGGATACTAGATGTAGATCCTCATAATAGACTTTTTTTTAGCTTGAGTGAAATAGTTCAGAAATATTTTCAGGAGCTGCAACTAAAATGAGTAGGAGAATTCTCATCCTGCAGTTATAGATAAGGATTTCTACAAACATATCTGCTATCCCTATGTTTATTAGATTTTTAGTGAACTTTAAATGTCTGCAGTTTTTAAAGGAGCAGGCTCAGATGCTTCACACAGTTGAAATATTCAGCGTGTCTTTTTCCTTGTTCTTCCTCTATGTCCCTGAAAAGATGGGCTCCTAGTTTAGGAAATGCTATATGAGTAGAATGGAAAAAAACCCCACGCTGTGCAAATAATTTTCATATGTGCTGAAGCAATTAGACATTGAGTACTTGCTGTTCCTTTACAATCAGATATCAGTATTTGAAAATTCTGTTCCTATTATTCTCTACCAGACCCGTTCGTTCGCAGCAATGTTGATTGAAAACTGAAATGTGTAGAGTCTGAGAATGTTTTTAATGTTACTAGTAGTACTGGAAGTGCTACAGCAGAGGGTGCTGAATATATTCTTAGTGAGAGATCTGGCCACCCTTGGTAAGGAGCTAAATGACTGTGTGTTAGATTAGGGGTTTCTTTTGAAAAATGTATTCTAGGGTTGAAAACCCACTTGCACTGAGCAAATCATGTGCTTGTTTCTTCAGTCAGTAAAGTTGTGAGAGTTTGTGTGGGGCAAAATGTTTGTAATTGTGTAACTTGTGTGGGTTTGGGCTTTTATCTTTTCTTGCCCAGCACTTACTGTGGAATAACTGGCTGATCAAATATGGTTCATTCCGGTTATTCTATATGCTTTAATTTTTCCTTTTTGTTTTCATCTTATGGCTCTTAAAACTAAAGTCCATTATTATTGTAACTGTGAATGTTTTGTTTTAAATAATTGTATGTTTAGATGTATGTATTCTTTTTTTATGCTAATCATTTAATAGTCTAAGTGAAACTTAAGTAGCTGTCTATTGCCAGTTTATGCAGTTTCCACAGCTTTTGTGGTCATAGAGAGAAATGGCTTTGAGGGTGCTCTTTCAGTCTGAAATTGGATATTTTGCAAACTGATAATGTAGCAGAAGTCCTTGAGGGTAACAGGTGGTGTCCTCTGCTTTTTTTCTCCTCCCCCCAGGTACCTTCATTCAAATAACATAGTTGTTGTACCTGAAGGTAAGTAATCTACCAGCTCACAATAAATGGCAGGAATCATAAAATATTCATTTTTCTTCTTTGAAGAGGCCTGTTTTTCCTTTATTTTCCCATAAAACATTAAAGATTTTCATACAAAATATACCAGTGTAGCTCTTTGTTGATAATACCCTTGTCTATGCAATGTTCAGTTCTTTTAATGAATTCTCAAATGCACCTAAATGCTGTTTGCTTCAGTTCTAATTGCGAAAAGTGAAAAGGCTAAATTGCACTTAACTACTGAAACAAAAATCTGGAGTGTCTTCTACTTTCAGCCAGTTACCACACAGAACACTGTGCTGGTTTAGATCCTGACAGATTTGTATCTTGAAGTATCAAGAACTTGGACTAGTTTCTCTTCCTTGTCTTAACTGTAGAGTTGTGTGCCCAGCTTCAGGAAAGTACTCTAAGGATATAAATTGGATAGACTCAAAGGAATGGAAAAAGTTATTTCAGAGCAGAATCACCTGAGGAGAATGTAGAAATGGGAGTATTCTGTACATCAGTCTTGTTTTTTTTTCCTCCTCCCTGTCTCACTGCCAGCAGTACTGTTCGCTGAGCAGAAAGCATTTCCACAAATTATGTCATTCAGTTGTGAGACCGGCTTTAATGTGTCAAAATGTGCTCAGACATAGGTGTTAGGCACTGTGGCTTTTTATCCCCTCATAGTCCTATTAAGATTTTAACATTACTGTTGGGTCACATTCATGTTTTAATCTGTTCTCTCACAAGCCATTGGCTCCCTGGTTAAACTGCAGTTTCTGGACCTGAGTGACAACGCCCTCGAGATCGTGTGTCCGGAGATTGGCCGCCTGAGATCCTTACGTCATCTTCGCTTGGCCAACAACCAGCTCAAGTATTTACCTGCAGGTAAGTACAAATGCAGGAGGGATTACAGCAATGACAAATTCCATTTGAACTTAATTTGCATAGTGATCTGCTCCAGGTTTATTCCTATCTTATGGCTGAAGCACAGTACAACTTGTGTTTAAAGGCTAGGCAGGAGTTGCCGCTGTATGTATTGTACTAAATCTGCTCCCTTGTTGAAAAACCCATGCTGTTCATACATGTTTCTGGAGAGGGAAAAGTATCTGTTCAACAGTCTTTGTCATTGTATTGAGAAAACATTGAACTTCCCTGAGAAGACATAAAATGCCAATGACAACTGACATTGTCATGAAGTGCAATTTCTTCCATTTTTCCAGAATAGAAAGAATTCCAGTCCTTCCTTACTTCTTGCCCAACAGGGCCATTCTTGTATTTTCTGAAAAGACATATGTCTAGTAGGTTTGCCTATGGCAGTTCTACCTCACTATGACAGTAAATAACAAATGATTGTCTTGATAGTTTATAATAAAAAAGTAAAAATTATTCCAATTAAATGTGACACGAAGTCAGAGAATCTGGCCATGGGCAGATTTTGAATGATTTGGTTTTTTCCTTCTAAATACTTCGATAAGCAGACATAACTGATTACTCTTCTTACATTGCCCTTATATCTTTCCAGATGAGATGATGGTAGTTTAAAATGTATTATTATTTTTTTCTCTGGCATATTTGCATTTTCTGATCAGCAGAGATGACAAAAATCTAAGGCCAGAGTTTAAAAAAAATGGTCTAACAATCTGTCAGGATTAGCTTTTGGCTCTAATTTTAACTAACTTCTGAATGTGACCTTCATGTGTTTGTAAGGTCACATGGCTTATTCTCAAGAAATATATTGCAATTGCTCCTTGAAGTTTTGGGTGCAGAAATCTAGCTGTCCTTTCCTTGTATTACTCTAGGCATAATAAGCTTAATCATCCTTTGACTTCTTATTATGATTAGAAAGAAGAAAATTTATATGACTATGTAAATGCTCTGAAATGAAATTAGATAAACCTGTTAAACATTATGACCTAAGGCCAATAAAATTTCCATCAATTTTTAGATGTCCTACATTCAAAAGAGAGGAGTGACTTGAGTGTGCTTTATGTTCCTCAAAGATAATTTACCTTACCGGGCTGTACCATGAAAGAAAGACTTGTTCAAAGAACAAGTGACACATTTCCTGCAAAACTTCACACATTAACTTAAAAAGGTTCCAAAAAAGACTTTCAAAAGGATAATTTACATTACTGAGGAGCTGATTTTGAGTCTACCACGTTTGATTAGGAACTGCTATCAGCCACGTAGGCATGCTGATTTAATTTCTTTGGTACTTAGCATTGTCCCTAAATGGTTTAGTTTTGTGTGCATGAAAATTTTGTGCACATAGAAGTACTATTCCTGTTGCCTTCTTCTGAATTGGAGAATCCAGAGGTGTCTGGTCCTTCTGGTTTTTGCTGGTATCCTGCCATCAGTTTACAGGTATGCCATTACTGCCGTTGTTACTAATCCTGTCTGTTCAGAAGCTGTCACAATCAACGTGACTGGATCTCACTGGATGTCATACAGCTGGAGTGTTATCAGTTGAGCAAGATTAGACTTTTCACTTACACTGGAGAGTTTGCTTACTGGGGACTTTATCTACTGCCTTGAGTGTTTCCTAAACAACACTTCCTGAAGAGGGCTTCCAAATATATTTTCAGTTTTTCTTTGTGAAATTGTACAAAGATTTCAAAGATGACTTTGTAACAAAGTCTTTGAGTTTGAAAGTAACATTTATGTTCAACAATTGAAAAAATAGAGCAAAATAGTAAGTTTTGATGAATTGTTTTATCTTTAATTATATCAGTAGCATCAGTCTCCGTAACAGTGTTAAATAGTGTTCTGTCAGGAGAGCTAGCAAAATTAATGAAACAAAAATAAAACCTGGGATGAGATGTGATTTCACTGCAGTACATCACTGTGCTAATGGATTTCTTTACAGTAGATACTGCACTGTGATGCAGGGTGAGGGAGACAGCTCTTAGTCTTAATTTATAATAAGATATATAATTTTCTATATCTATGTTATCTATATAAATTATAGCATATAGTTTCTACTAGTGCAGCTTCTGCAGGATTTGAAGACCTGCATTAAAAAATAGCTTTCAAGTATAGGTGATAGTCATTTATGGAAGTAACTTTTCAGAACTCATGACCATGATTTTCTTTGAGACTTTTTTTGTGCACGTCACACGCATTGCAGTGAACTGTTTCTCACAGCAGAGGATCCAGTTCAGAAAGGCTGATCAGTATTCGTCTTGTGTAACCAGATAGGTCAGCTTGTAGCATAATGATGTCATCACATAAAAAGCTTACTTGAGAGTTGTTGTCCTGTCATTCCTCTTGTCTCTCCCCAGTGTCTGGTGTTATGAGTAAACCTTGTTTTTTGTTGAAACTAATGCATGTCGGGGAGGATACTCTTGGTAGTATCCTTAATCAGTTGCTAAAAAATGTCTTCATGACAACTGCAGAACAGTTGGATGATAGATGTTTGCCATTAAGGGTCTGAACACCTACACTTTTGCATTTTACATTTTAAGAATGATTCTCTGTTGTCTCCCTGAATTGTGATTAAGAAAGGAAAGAAACAATGCAGTTAATAGCATATATTTGTTTATTATCTGTTCTTATTGTTTTTTGTTCCACAGTTGTGCTCTTACATTCATTTTTAGTATTTAAGATTTGCTTTATAGAAATCTAGCATAACTAATTATAAAGCTATTGAAATAATATGCATAGTGAGGCCCTATAAAGATTTGTCTTCACTGGTTGTAGACATTTTTCAGACTCAGTTGAGCCTGTGCTGCCGTTTGCCCTCAGTGTTATGGGCAAGATTTTAGTCTAAGTAGCTGTTTTCATAAAACTTGTGAGAATTTAATAAGAAAGACCTCTCTTCTAAGGCTTGGTTATGACTGTCCAGATGGTTTTAAAAAGTTACTTTAAGGGAGGAGGTGGTAGAGAATGATGATGATAAGTGGAGACAGCATGAATATATAAGCCTTAGTTTCCTGAAGAAATGAGACAACAGAGGACTGGTGAGGGGGAAAAGGGCATTAGGTGAAGCATGGAAATTGTGTTCCTTGGAGATTAGAAAGCACTTTCTATCCTGTGGCACTCTTGTAGTGGAAATGATAATCCTACTTCTGTACTTAGCAGATGCTGCCAACTCAGTGCCACCCGTGGATAAGATCATGTACTTGGGCCACAAGGGACTTTGTTTAATTGTGCACTACCACAGAAACAATGGGACTTGCATCAAGCATCATTACATTATTGGGAGAATTGTTGAAAGGTGACTAAGCTGAACTTGATGAGAAGTAAAGGAAAAAATTTGTCGGGAACAAGCATGTTGAAATTGAAATTAATATAAAATGGCTGGAAGAAAATGCTTTGTGAAATTCTCTTAAAGTCATGTTTTGAATATGCTTTGGATAAAGTTAAGGAGACCAGCTCCTGCCTGATGCGGTCATCAGTATCTAAACTCTGTGGTAATCAGAATCACTAACAGAGAGACTGTCTTTGAGAGGAGAGTTGATTAGGAGTTGCAGGTAAGTAAGCAGATGAGATTTAATATTACCAGGTTCTCCTGAGCTTTTTTTCATTGCAATGCACAGCATATTTTTTTGTCTGCAAACCGTGCGCCTTGTAGTGCCCGTCTTTAATAATTTCTTGGTTCTTTCACTTGGCTCTGGTATATGGAATTCTTGAATGTGAAGTAAAGTTTTGTGAAGTTTTCTACTGTTTAACTGTAACACCTAAATTTTCTAAATTCTTGAGTGCCATTTAGAAATATGTCATGCCAGAGATACTATTTGGAAAAATCTTAGCATTGCAACATAAACAAAAGCTGGTTATTATTCATGTTGTTACATTAGGTCACATAAAAGCTTGACTTACATCTGATAGTATGTTTTCATAGTAGCTTAACTTTTTTTTTTTAGAGATTTCTCTTTATTCAGAGAGTTGATGTCTCAGTTTGAGAACTGTAGAGTTAGTCCTGTCTGAATGGGAAGTTAATTTTCTGAATATTCCCTTATGAATGAATAAATAGAAAGTTTCCTTTTGCTTTTGATGTTTATAATGCATATGAAACTTCAGCTCTTATTTCTTAAGAAATTATATTTATTTTCTGTTTGTGTAAGAATGATTGCATCATTTGAAAAAAAAAAAAAATCTTTTTGTGAGATGTAATGGAAGAAATTATTCTTCCCTTTGGGAGTCCCAAAGCCAAGGTTATCTCTCAGTTTTGTGGTGTTACCATTTAGATCTGATTTGACTTAAGCTTTGGAAACTTTTGATGTTAAGTGGTGGCTTTTCAGGTTTATGTTTTGGTCTTGTAGTTAGCAAATCCACATTTGGACAACAGCTGAATTAAAAGAGGCTTGGTTATACTCAAAGTTGGACTTAAGTTTCATGTTTGCCAAGGATTAGACTCTTTATTGCACATTACTTGAGAGATACTTCTTAGAAATGGCAAGTTCTAGCATCTTGTTCTAAGATTTAATTAAAAATGAGGTTATGTTTACTCAGCACACGTTGGAGTTAATTATAGATTTACTAAAATGAAAAGCTTAGTGTTTTGCCAAGTCAAGAGCAAAAACCAAGTAATTAAACAAAGAATAGGGTATGGGTTATGATCCTGGCCCATCTTTTGGCAAAGTTCCCTTCAAGAAAGGGGTGTGGGGGGGAAAATATCAGCAGTTGTCTTTGCATGGGCTGGGCTGAGTTTCCCTTTGTGTTTGCTGTTAGGCAACTCTAAAATCTGAGAGTTGGATGCATTTATTGGGGGGAAAAAGAAAAAGGGGGAAAAAAATCAACACAGCAGTCAAGTAATACCACACTTCATGTAACTTGTATGGTGCTGTTTCTTTAATCTGTGAAGTGAAAGTGGAGGTGACTGGGGAGCACCAGTGGTTGCTGTTGCTGGTGGGGGTACAGATCTCTGCAAGAGTCCAAGGTAG